TGAGTTGTTCTATATACAAACACACCCTAATGTTAGGAAAAATTGCATAATTNCACTTAAATTCTCAACCACCTTTCCATTTTCCTTGTCAATTCCCTAGCTTTTTGTTTCTCCTTTACACTTTCCACAACTTTATTTTCTTGCCTCTAAAATACCCATATATATATATATAACTATTATTATTAACTTGATTTGTAAATCAAAAAAATTGGCAAAAAAATTTAGTCGACCGTCCCCACAATTTGAAGAAAAAAGTTGTCCCCAAATTCAAACGATCGTCCCCACCATTCAAACAACTAATTGAGTTTCTCTATCAAACAAGTCGAGTCGCGCGTGCTCATGATCATACTTGGTTAAAGTTTCAAATTTTGGTCTAAGTTGTAAGGCTTATTAAATGAGTCGAACCGAGTTTACACGAATTAAACTCAAGCTCACATTTTTATTTGTTTATTAAACATGGTGAGTCACATCAACTTATATATTAAATGAGCATGAGTTCAAACATGGTATACCTAACTTGAATAATCTAGCTACGTACATGCATGTATAAAGAGGTCAAAATATGATTTATTTTTTTTAAATAATATAAATTACATCAATCTCAAGTCAATAATATTAAATATTAATATTACATTTGCAAAATAAAAATATCAATTATTGTACATTCTAGTCATGTTTTATATAGAACAGACACTCTTTCAACAAAAATATATGAATTATTAGCTACTCTTATACATATGAGAAAATTCAATTTTTTTTTCCCGAAACGATAGATAGATTTATAAATCAAAATGCACAAATGTGCGAATACACAGCAGCCAACGGCTGAATACACAGCAGCCAACAGCTGAAAAAGTGGGAGGACAGGTCAAAAGTGAAAAGATATTATTTCTTATGTGCTTGAACTTTAATTAGAAAAAAACAATTTATTAAAAAGTTTGCTATAAAGCGGTGCAATAGTCCTGCTATTCTTGTTATATGATAAGTCGATATTTAAGATTCAAATATCATTTTATTTACTAAGTCACATAAATAAATGAGATTTAATAGTAAATTTTATATGCTCTAATATCATTTATTTAAAAATTCAGTGAATATATAAAAGATAAACAAGATTATGAAACAAAAAATTTAGTTTCTTATTAAGTATTATTATGGAAATAAAACACAGTCAAATAATGACTCGAGTAAAATTATTCAAATGAACTCTATTTATCAGCCGAGATTTAGGGAGTGTATTCGTTTGGGATTTCGAATGACATTTTGAGACTTTTTGAGATTTGAGATTTTTTTAGATTTTTTTTTATTTTGGAGAAATATAT